TTTTTAAAACTCGACAAGTACGATATTGTACGGTAATTATCGAAAAAAAAAATATAAGGAAGAGTGTTCTTGGTTTACGATCGGGCGTAGTTTCAACATTTTCCCTCGCTACAAATTTCTAGTTCCATCTCTGCACGGGTACCGTGGTCTTAACGAGCGCTGCACGAGCTTTAGTAGACTTGAAATTTTGGGGTAGCAAAATTGATTTTTAAAAAGTGAAAAAATAAATTTTTATAGATTTAATATGATAACTATCTAACCTCTTCTATATACATAGACTACGTACACACTTGAATAATAAACATAGAATATATTTTTAAAATCTATGAATTTTTGGGGTAGCAAAAAAATACTCTGAAAAAAATTTCTGGGGTAACCTATGGAGCGCTGCAATACGTGTACGATATCGGTATCGGTGTCGCAGTTTCGAGACGCATACGCGCACGCATTATTTTCGTCGTACGGGTTAGATTAGTAACTACGTTCGTATGGATGTTGACCGAAAACGCTCGGAGGTGAGCGCGAGGATCGATCCATTCGAAATCGATACGAAGTGACTCGTAACGATCATCACAATAATCCCTCCGCCGTGCGTTAAACATACATCGTATCAGGCGCGACTTCAGAAATTTACCAGAGTGGGGGGAGGCATTTTAAATGTTAACTGATAATAGTTGTTTCCCCAAATCAGTACTGAGACACAGAGTCCGACTACGTTCTCCTATATTATGATACACGCCTTATATTAATGTCATAATATGGTTTTTTAGGCAAAATAAAATTGTTAGGTATCTAGTTAAATAATCAGGATTATACAATTCACAAGGACAAAAGTGTATTGAAAAATTTGAATTTTTGAAAAGCCTGGAGGGGAAATGGCCTCTCCAAGACGACGGTGAATCGTACCGTTTTTTCTCCTCCCGATAAATTTCACGTGAACCGGACGAACGCGGCGTTGCATTATACGCGTACTATAATGGTGCAGCGTTTGATCGTCAATTCGAATGTCTGGAACTGTGCTTGTTGCGCGTTTATTTTCTATTATTTATTTTTTCTATTCATTTTCGCAGCCGATGGTATCTTCGTAACTGGTCCTGTAGATGATGAGAAGGGTTAATACTACTGCACGCGTCCGTCACTCTGTTCTTGTGTACATGTATACATTGTAATGCGTACAACGTTGCCAACACAATCGTTCGAAGGTCCCGTCGCCGCCGTTTGCACATAATTTATGCCGCTGTGCGGACGCAAATGTTCTAATCGCCGTGTCCACAATATTTACATGTTTTATCGGGTAAAAATATCGTATCACAACGGTCTCGGCAAACGACCACTCTCGACCGCTCGTCTGTCGTACTGCTGTGTTAAGAGAATCAGGGCTTTGGATAAACGCAACGACCTTTCGACGTTTTCGTACAAATTATTTATCATTTGCACGTGTTTTTTTTTTCGCAACCCACTGTAACGTGTAGGTATCTATGTGTTTTAATACAGCAGTCGCCACTTGACTATTGTACGGTCGACAGGTAAAATTGCTTCTCCCGGCACTATTCCGCCGCTCATACGATTGTAACGATGTGCATATTGTATATTTCATGTAATATCATTTACGTTCGATAATGTTCGATGAACAGTTACCATAAACATTTTTTTTTATCTCTGTCTTCACGGCAGTCTTAAACAAGAGAAATCTGTCCTAATTGTTTTCCAATGAAACGCAAATGATTACCATATCTTAATTTATTATACGTTTGTATAAACCACTCGACTTACCGACATACCAACACCACGGCGTGATGACTAAAAAATCAAAATCATAATCGATAGTGCTATATTACAATGTATAACTTGAAACGACCACCGATAACATTCGTGTGGTATTTAAATTTAGCTATAAGAATAATGCCGTTTTTTACGCGCCAGCAGAGTAATCTTAAATAAATGAGATAAACCTGTATAGACGTATAGAAACGTCTACGATGATTTATCTTACACGATGAAAACAAAATAAACGGAAATTACCATTTTATTCGCTTTAGCTCATAAATTAAAAATTTACTATTTAAAGTTCACCTAACCGCCATGTTGACAATTATGTGAACGATTTCACGATGCGCGTTATTTCGTATAACACTCATTATATATTAAACATTAATTGCAATAATGTGAGTATGCCTTTCCTTTAAATGCTGTTGATAAACTACCTATTGTTTGCGTAATAAAATTAAAGCAACACCGTGCATGTGTGTCATATGTTTGTGTGAGTGTGCACAGTGCATACGAAATCCTAGACAGTATTTAAATAATTTATAATCGCGTGATTTTTATGAATTTAATTCGAAAAACTCAAAAAACGTCGGTGATTTAAATCGTCAAATAACCATTGTATATCATAAATAATACACTGGAGTACAAGCATTTAATTAGTTAATTAAATTTTACGAAGTGAATGTATCCTATAGTTGTTAAAATTTACAAATGTACTTGAAAATACCTAATATGAGTTTTTCGGATTTTAATGATATCGTGAATACAGAACATTATACTGAAATAGTCTCAACCGAAAGCCTGTAAACAGGATTCGGTCGATTATTGTTGAAAATAAATTAAAAATCCAGTGGGTGAAGATAAAATAAATAAACAAAATCATTTTTTTCGCTCAATGAACTTTGTAATGCGTTCGCTTATTTACATATGGTATAATACATACTGCAGTATATGAAGGTAAAAATTATTAAACGTGCGTGGAAAAAAATAATATACAGAGTGATCCATTGATCGCTCCAGTGGTTGCACTTTACCCATTAAATACATCCAAAGAGCGTAGCCTCTTCAATTTACCACACTGTATATAGATTTTATTTTACTGTATCTGAAATACATAATAACGAAATGTATAAAACTATGTCTAAACGCGTAATATCGTATAATTAATATATATATATATACACACACACACATACCAACACATCCTGTGTTCGGTTGGCAGACGAGTAACTCGTAAGTACGATGAGTATTCGAGGCTGTTTTATTATTTTCGTGAGAATGAAAATTTTACCATTACGATACAAAATAGTTTATAAAATGTTAATATAATATAGCTGCAGTACGGCCTACCGTGAATATGCCAGCCATGATATTATACACCCTGCGTTCCACCAACATTGCGTAATAATATCGTTAAAAACGTCTCGAACAACGCAGTATTACACTACAGAACTAATAGTAAAGTATTTAACACGAGCGCATATTATATACAATGTATGTGTGTGTGTTTGTGTGTGTGTGTGTGTGTGTGTGTACCAGGCACTCGCGATGCAGTCGAGTGGAAAAGTCTTAAGACTTGGTAACAGGACGTGTTTTTTTATTTTTTATTCCATATATATAAATGTGTATGTACGTGTGTGTGTTTGTGTGGTGCAGGATAATAATATGCAACGCCACTGTATTTATATACATGATAAATAGGCATCAAAGGATTGCACATATAATACTATTATTGTATAAAATATATGTGTTAAATATTTGAATATGAGTTTTTGTCGTCGAACAAATTTGACATTGTTCAACCCGTTTACTTTGTCCCCATTGATTTTGAAAATATCTTATGCCATCGCATAAAGATATTGATTTAACTATTAAGATAACGATTTACTGTTCAAATTTATAATATTATTATTGTTTTCGCATGTATGTACGACATAAATATTCAAAGTTATAACACTTTTCCGTATATATATATATATATATATATATATATATATATACTTGTTCGAAATGTATGCGTTTGCGTTTTATTCCTATCATTCAACGCATTTGTGTAAATCGTATGCTTCCAAAAACGAGTCCAAGCCAGTATTTGTGGTAAATATTAGACCCGAGAATGGTGCATGGCCTCCGACTAAAATAAACTTCGTAACCGTATGCGAACAATGTTCCCGAATTACCGACGTTACTTGTTCATACGGTTAGTGTCCTGCAGCCTACGAACAGGGTACACGATATTAGTGGGTAAATATTTGACGCTGTTGGACTTTTTTCGATTTAATTATATCACTGGTACGAGAAAAGCAATCATTGTGCTTTCGTCCTAAAACGATTTGAACACAAACTTGTCCCGACCGAATTACTATAATATTACGTCATCGGAACAATCAAAACGCGTATCGTAACATATCATATATATTTCTTTTTACCTATGCACGTGCGTACACATGGTATATATATTTCAATCTATTGGCGTGTATTTCACACGTTACACAGACATTCCGCGATCCGAAATTATAATGCAAAGCATGCACGGTTACACTGGAACAAAAAAAAAAACGTTAAAAATGTAGTCAAAATTAATTAAAATCCGAGTGAGCCGTTGTATTACGAAAAACAATAGTTATCGTGTGGTACATGTACGCGTGTTTGATGCGTCGATTTGAAATAGAAATTTGGTAAAACGTCTAATTTGCAGAAGAAAAATAAAAAATAACGTTACTCTTATCGATTATCACCGAACCATACTCCCCCTATTACATCGTAAAAAGTGCATAAAATATTGCGCTAGGTCTTCCTAATATTTTTACGGGATGTAAGACCACGGGGGGAAATATATAGCGTAACGTGACCGACCGCGGAGGACGGTTTGTTCGAACGGGAAACGCGTTCAAGACGACAATACTTAAATACATTGTAAAAATTTAACGTTTTACCGAGAGAGAGAGAGAGAGAGAGAGA